TCAAAGAAAGATGTCAGATACTATACCTCATAGAGATCCCCTGAGGCTTTTTGTCTGTTGCTTTTTCTCTGCTCTTCAACTTTTTGTCCTGATCAGGCATTGTGTATCACTATTATCATCACGTGGCTAAACACTCATTTCCTTAAAAATAAAGTAGACAGGTAGAATTATATCATTGCAGCAAAAGCAACACATGTTTACTTACAGAACCAACTGATACAACTTTAAGAAAAAAAACCAAACAGCTTTACTATTTTCTCAACATGAACCCTTGGGCATTACACGAGGATTTCCTTTAGAATTGCAGACACTAACAAGAAAGTAATTAACCTAATTAACCAAGAAATCTTGGTTTCCCAACACATGGATAGATAATATTGGCTCTCTTGCTACTGCACGTGGTTTGTTTTTATTAGGATTTTTCCTCTTCTTGCATCTTATCACCATTATTTCTCACTGTGGATTGGCTATTTATGTTACAGCAGTGCTTACAGGCTGACATCAAGGTGGTATCATACAAGCTGTTGTCCAGACAACAGAGAATATAATACTTTTATCATCTAAATAAACAAGACAGATGAAGGGTTGAAAAAGGAGGTATCTGACAAATAAATGAGACGCATATATCATGCGATCTTCCAAAGAACCACAGAAATTTTCATTAGTTTGAAATCGGGGTCTTCTGAATTTCAGCTGAACGCCTTATACCAATAGTACCCAGCTTTTCTTGCAGTGGGGCACAAAGGTTATCTCCAGAGATGAGCAGAGCCGCATGGCCTGGCCTCATCAGGGCCATTACCGCATATTAGGTCCACTGCAGACAAACGTTCAGTCTGTAGGTGTGACGTCCCACATAGGCTCCCGGCTTGTTGCTTGCATAATATACAACGTTTGTTCACTGAAAATCTTATAAAGCCCTAGAAAGAGACAGAAAGACATAGAAGGAGAAGAGTCAAGAGGTATCGTTTGCTGCCACAAAAGCAATTCTATTGATGCAGATCCTGCTCCGCATGAAAAAAAGGATGGTCAGGAGGAGGCTAAGGCTGAAGAATTATCCCAGAGAACTGCATCCCAGAGAGCTGCAGCATATTGGTAGAGCACCTCCGATTTAAAACATGAGGCTATAATACCACTGTCTGATCCTTTCTTCCCATTTTACTATTCACTAAACATAGACCATTTGGATGTTCCTTTTGGTGTCTCTTTAAATGGATTTTCCACATGAAATCCAATAGCCTCCTTTTCTCTTTGTGCAGTGTAGAATTCCTCTGCTATTGATTTTTATTCCTCTTCCTCATAAAGGCAAAGAAGAAGAAAACCTGACAGGAAGCAAAAACATTGCAAACTACCAGAAGCTGCTGCTTCCCACCTGAAAATCAGTGTTATTTTCCCAATAATACATTCTCGCATCAGACGCAGAACTACCCAAACCACAAGTGTCGACAGTATGAACTCACGCATCGTATTAACCCACTCTGGTAAGTGGCCCATAAGCCCAGGTCATCCATTTCAACTCTTCTGAACAAGTCTTTATCCTACCACCATTTCCCCCCCAGAGGATGATTGATCTGGACCCCCAAGAAATTCCTCCTCTCTCCATGCATCCACTCAACAAGGTTATTAAAAAAACCCTCAGACCACTTCTGTTGTACCAGTTATCACCAGGGAATGGATATAAACAGGATCTGTTCTACCAGTCAGCAGACAAAATTCCTGAATTCAGATTAAACCAAATGAAGTTAGTTCAATTCATTTATTTCCTTTGCTTCAAAAGCAGTAAAAGTTAAGAGAAGCCACATACATTGCTAAGCATGTTTAAGAACCCTCACAAGTAAGAATTTCCAAGTATTGTATTAGTGATATTTGTATTTTATATTCTTTCCCCAGTACCCCAAGCCACTTGGCTTATTACTGAGGCATGACACAATGCAAACATCACCTCGCATTTGCACAGGACAAAATACTGTGAAACCAACAAATTATCAACTCGCTCAAGAGTACCTGTGTACAAAGAACAGATTTCAACCAATTAAAGAATCACCAAAAAACCCCACACACACAAAACAGCTTGTCCATGAGCAAATACAATTACATCGTAAAATTTTCAGCATCCCTTTTAAAAAAAGTAATCCTTGGGTTAAACCTCTAAACCATAAACAGCAGGATTCCCAGTATGGCTAGGATTTCATCCCAAATTGTTAGGTCTTTGTGATTACTTACAAAATCTTACAACTGTAGAGCAATCTTGCTTTAGGGCTGCCAGTCCAACGCTTCTGCTGTTTGCGGTACCATAGTAAAGATGAAACAGAGTAAAAGCTCACCAGTATTTTAAAGGTTCATTGCATTCCAGCTCCAAATGGCCCCGTACAAGATTGAACCTGACGAACATGAAGTCAAATTCCCTTTGCTGCTGTTTGAGAATGAAGGGATGGAGCTCACCCAAGGATGCAGCCCTCACCCAGCTCTGAGAACTCATCTGGAGGTTACCTCTCTGCTTCCTAGAGGCCACTGAGCCAGCACAACTCAGTGAGCACTTCAACAGAGGCCAGCCCTGGCCACACGCTCACCCCGCACCACCTCTTTGGTCTGTCAGCACAGCGTCACCACAGGTGCACAGCTCGCTGGACTGGGAAACCTGATCCAGGTTACAATCTCTCCTTCTTTGACCTCGATTACCTTAGAGTTTGTCCCCAAGTACTTCTGCTGTACAAGGGCAGGGACGAGATGCAGAAGAGAGCATTTATCCATGCAGCTTAAAGTGTTGTGCCCTTCAGCTTTACTCCAGAGATAAACCAATTAATTAACAGCCAGTGGTGCTGGTGCAAACAGCCCCTGTCCTCCCCTTTCTTTCCCCTTCCCAGCCTCACCCACTCCTCTATACTTCTTCAGCTGCTCTGACCCAAACCTGAGCCAGCTGAGAGCGCTAAACAGGCAGAACACAATATGCCTCCCTTTGTACAGTTAGTTTTCTACCAATTTAGCTCACTGTTACAGTGGCCTGATGAGTATCTCTGCTGGCAAGGCGGGGGGCAGGAAGGCACAGCTGTAAATAGAGGGAGAAGAGCAGAAAACCCTTTCATCAGTAGCCAAGTCATTAAATCAGGTAGGTGTATCAGCACCACACCCTGAGTGAGGGGTAGACAAAAGGAAACAATCCCGTTTTCCTTGAATCAGCCATAAACCTGAGAGAAAACAGTCATGAAATATTTCCTCACCTATTCTCACAGTTACTTGACTCTCTTGAAATCACTGAGAAAGTTCCCACCCCCGTGTTTCTTCTTTACTCGTGCCAGCAGAAATTTCCATGGAGCCAGGCTATTACCTATCCTCCTAACTATCCCCCAGCTATTAAGCCAGCCATGAGTAATGTATAAGAAACAAAGCAAACACCACTTACATGTCACTTAGGTTGTGCCAGAAAAAGATTGAGATCAGACAACTCTTTAAAAGAACAGAAATACATTAAAAGGAAAATGTCTTTACAGCATAGTCTTATTCAGCTCCATTTAAAACGATGAAATGAGAGTAATATTAACTAATTCATTTTAACTGGGGATAATTACATTTAATTAGTTATGTTAATATAGGAAGACAGATGCACTCCGATAGCGCTGGCATGCAGGATAGGACAAGAAATGCTCCAAGAATCCTGTCAGAAATGAAAGAATTCATATGATGACAAACGGGAAACAAAGGAATTGTCACCCCAGCCTCGATCTGTGGCCCAGTCTAGTATTTGTCTTGGATGACACAAGCACATGAAGCTTCAGAAGGTGAAAACAAACCCCAAAACAAACAAAAACACAAAGACCTGTTGGAGGATAAATTTACCACCAAACACTACAGGGTCATGGTTAGAAACTCTTTTAAACAAAAAGATGTCTTACACTCTTTATAATCTTTATTAGCAATAACTACTGGATATGGATCGTTTGTAAGCCAGCTAGTTGCTTGACTTACCCTTGAATTCCTTTCTTAATCACTCCAGTGGCTAAGTTCCACTATCTAATTATACATAGAAGGTTAACTGGCTTAAGGCAGATAAAGAAGCAGTAGATATGTTATATCTTGGCTTTAATAAGACCTTTGATGCTCTTGCTAGATACGAATGTATCTAATACCGTAAGCCGGGTGTGAGCTCAGCTGAAAATTCACTCCTTAAAAGAGCAATTACCAATATATTATTGTCAAATTAAAAATGCTTTTCAAATACAGTCAAAATGATGGCAAAGGAAGCATCAAAGATGACGAAAAGTTCCCCAAAGGTACTTTTCCTTCTCCAGCCTGATGAGACCAAAGGGAACCCTGGACCACTTCCCCTCTTGTTCTCAGAGCGCGTGGCAGGCAGAAAGGTGGGTCACCACCACCGACAGCCCGTGTCGAGGAAATTCTAGTGATGAACCCACACAGACAGTGTTTGAAGAATATTTCTTACGCATTTTATTGACTGAATCAATATGGAAATCTGCATGTTTTCTATACATTAAAACTTCCACATGCATATATTTATCTCAAATTTTATTTTGTTTCGCAATTTCTTTGAAGGTTCTCTAAAGATTAACTAGCATCCAATGTAAGGTTCCTGCTTTCCTAACAAATTGAAATATTTAAGCCACTGCTAGATTTTGGTTGGTTTTGTTTGTTTGTTGGTTTTTTTTCCCTCTGCACCACCGCAGCTCCAGGAGAACCATAAATGGCCAGGCCTATTCTCAGATTCCTGGACCCATGCAATGCGAGTCTCTGGGATATTTTCCAGATCATAACTTTTATCTGTAGAGTCTGCCTAAATCCACCCTGTTAACCTGCAGTTCACAGATGTAGAGAAAAAAACAACAAAAAAAGACGATTTCTGAGGTCTAATGAGCAGCTCTCTATCAACTCAAGAATAATAGGTAGCTCTGGAAAATCCACCCTCCCTGCTCTGGGTACCAGGCAGACCTTTTTAGGGAGTTGTACCGCTAGGACTTAGAACCTCTGGGAATCCTGAGACTGTTTAATGCCTTCTGAAGGCTCAGAGCTGGGAAAGGTGCAGGGCTGAGGAATACGTCATTAAGAAGAACGTGGGAGCGATGGGGACAAAGTAATCCTTATTTTAGGGGC